ATTATTTCTGGGAAAAACAAACCAATAATAACAATAAACTCAAACAAACAAAAATATTTACCAAAAAATGGCCAAACCCAGGTACGTTATACCAGCACCACAACCTAAGCTTTTTTATTTTAAATTGGTTCCATGATTTAGTAACCGATTAGTAACCATTCGTAACCACAAAGTTGGACTTCGTAACCTAAACCAAACACCAGAAAAACAGTTTTTCTCAACCGGGTAACGTTACGCCAGCACCCGCTACATCGAAATAATCTACTTAGAATGTTCAAACCTAATCTAGGCTTTAGTAACCGATTAGTAACCATTCGTAACCACAAAGTTGGAATTCGTAACCTACACCAAGCACCAGAAAAACCTAAATCATGGAACCAATTTAAAATAAAAAAGCTTAGGTTGTGGTGCTGGTGTAACGTAGGTACCTGCCAAACCCAGTAATCAAGTTCACACGACACGAGGAAATCATGGTTACCTGCAGAGTACACATTGGACACACTAGACTTACACATTCTCACTTAATGTGTAAGGAGACCGACCGCACAAACACAGACAATTATAMACACCAMCTCGCCCAAAGAAGCATTCGGCTATTGACAAGAAAAAAGAATAATTGACTTCATCAAGATTGCTGAGCTCACATCGAATATATAGGACCACGGATAAACGATAGGAGACTATTTAGCGGACACGCTAGACGTACATACTAATAAATATTACGATATACTCGTAAAGTCGTAATATTATATATGTAGGTATATCGTATATTAWATTTATATTATTATATTYAGAAAGTTTTGGCGGCTCTTGCGTCTTGCAATCAAAAATAAGCACACAACAATACATTATTGAACAATTTTATCATACATATAGATACATTATATAGTACTATATTATACCTAGTATATATTATACATTTACGTGTATATTATATACATATATATACATTAACCGTTTATCACTTCATGGGTATTATATTACAGGTGTATAATATGAACAAACATAATAATTGTCTATAGTTAAATAGTCAGATCAAGATTATTTTAAGTACTAAGTATAATACATTATTTCTTGAATATAAACTCAAACTATATACCATATAGTAAACAATAATAATAATAATAATGTAGTAAAATGTAATGTATATAATCTTCTTTTTTTTGTTTAACTTTTGATTAAAGTAGGCTAAAAACCTGTGTCGTTGAAGCCTTAATAAACTTTAAAAAAAATTACATTATTGTGACGACTGGTGTGGAAGTGCTTGGACTCAAATACTAAATAACCAATTCTGTCACTCTCATGCGACTTTCTAATATAATAGCCAATAAGTAGGTAAGTACATT